CAAGTCTCCCTGAACGTCAGCTGGAAATCCACTTGTCAGGCGCTACATATGAGTGCAAGTGCATATGTCGTACTATGGTTCGCAAGTTGGCCCAGGATTTGGATGGCAGGATCCTCAATATCGGTTAAGCGATGTTCCAACATGTTGACCAGAAGCGCGAGAAAATCACTTTCTGGTTGTAGTAATTGCTTACGGAATTTATCTGAATCTTGCTATCAGCACATCAATTAAGTGACGATGGCACAGGAAACTTACCGTGTCTTGCATATGCACATATAACATTACCCACCGGCGGTGAGATGTAAAAGTCGTGTTGCTTCAAATGTTTGATAAGCGTAGGAATTAGTTCTAGGACCTTAGCTTGGGCTGTTTCTGAAACGGGTTGTCAGGCATACGCCTGCGTTCAAAGAACAACCGGAAATACCGTCATGGACAAGGGCAGCAAGTATGCGTAAGGCTGCTACCAAAATTTCTTCGTCTGCGGTAGGTCATGTCAGCTTGAACGTATAAAAGCACGTTCAGATCGAAAACTCACGTTCGCTGCCGAGAAGATCGATGATGCCCTTTGCGGCCTTTTCTGTCACAGCCGGTTGATAGACGTCTGAAGATATCCCAGTCACAAAATGAATATCGTTCCGGTGGGTTGAATTACGAACTATTGCGAGCAAGTAACGACAAAGTCTGTGATGCATGAATTTGCACCATCAACGACTCAGTGTCGGAGACCCCTCCAAGGTCTAGTACACGCTGGAATGTTGCTTCGCTCAAGATCTCGTTCCCTACCGCAGCATGCTTAACTAGAGCGGGAAGGGCTTTGCAAGCTCGAATCTGATTGATATCGTCCCTGCTCGCCAGCATTTTCAACACGTCAGCGGCTGCCGTTTCCAAGTATCGCGCTTCAAGTTGAGGCACTGTAGAAAGTGAGTGGACATCCGTGCAATAGGTTCACTGTGACTTACAGAGTTCGCTCAGTGCAACGGTAGCACTGACACGTACTTTCGGATCATCGCTGTAACGGACTAACTCCTTTAACTGGTTGTCCCAGCCGTCTGATTCTTTAATCGCAGCCCTTCCTTGCTCTGTAAAGTGCTCAGAAGACAAATTGCAATAAAGAAATAAAACACTCACCAAATGAAGCCATGAATGCTAGTCGGTCAACTGCGTCGAAACACTCCACTCCATGTAACTGGATATCTCTTAAAAGTGAGGGCACGGTTGATGCATCAAAGATATCCTTCTCCCACACTTGACCCAGTTTGGAAAGGCGGTCTTGGCTGACTGGATCATTCCAGTACATCAATTCTGGCCATACATCGAAGTCCTTCCAGAATTTGGCCTTGGCTCGATAGTTGCCTTTGAAAAGGACAGAAGCGTGAATCTTCTGTCCGGGGAGGATCACCCGAGGCGCGCCACGGTGGAGTCTTCAGAAGATTTGAATGAATTCATCGATGTACATCAAAAGGCTCACAGCACATACCCAAATGTGTGATTGTCCTGAGTGCCATAAACAACCCGCTTGACAGGAGCGAATTCGAGTAACCACCATGTTCTCCGTAGTGATTCGAACGTCCTCTTCTGCAAGTCGTCCATCTTCCAGACGACTTCCGTGGGCTTCACCCTCAAGCCCGCCTCGACAGCCTCCTTTCGCATCCATAGCAATGGAATGTCACCTGATTGAAGCTTCTCGTTGAGTCGATTGCCTCCGCCACTGGAAATATCCGTTATTGAGTCAAAGGTACAGATATTTTAAGGCATTTGACGTACACGTCCGAGTGACTACCTGCAAACCAGACCTCCTTGATGCGCTCGGAATGGGACCCTTCTGTATTTGCACCATGAATATACTCAGGAAGGAACTTGACTCGCCGCTCGTCCAAAGCAAGAGCATGTCTGAAATAGCACATATGGTGGTCGCCGTTAGTAGTTGAAGGTAAGGTCTTCCCCCTCACAACGCCAACTGAAGAAACAGTATCCCTTAACATGAATAAATAAATAAATATCAACCATGTTCCAAAGGTCAATGTCTTACCATACGCCGATAAAATGGATGTGGACGTGCGATCTGCAGAATGTGCTCTTGAACGTTTCAGCAAGCTCATTCGCCCAGGCATGTTTGCGCCGAGATTTTTTTCTCTTCGAGGCCTTTTCATCTATTTTCGAGTATAGCTCGAATGCGCTAAATGTCGCCGAGATGAGAAGGAAGCGATGGCACGAGATGTGACTATCCTTACAATGGTATTTGCTCGTTATTGCCGGGGAGGATTAAGCCGACCTAGAGTTATAACAAATCGTCCTTTTTTGGTTAGCATGTCAATTCGCACGACTCACGCGGTGTATCATTCCAGCAATTGCTCGGGCCTGGTAAGCGCCCCTAGAAAAGCCTATGACAAGACATTATCTCGGGCATCACTGCGTCTAACACGAGAACCTACCGAAAAGGTAAATTCTATCACCGTCTTGATAGTTTTCTGATATCCATCGATAGGCTGCCAGTATCACTCTTTCGAGATTCCTGAATCATGCTCAATAATACTATATAGAGTTGAACCGCGCCACATACCAAGCAATAAGCAAATCCACCTTGTTGCTCAGCCAATAATGAACATATGTGAGAGAGCGCCACGTTGGCCGGGCGTGCGTGCCCACTCCGCTGTTGTAATAAGTGAGCTGGGCTTCAGATTTCACAAGTTGGCTGTAGAGTTCGACGACATTGGTGTTCTGCGCAGTTGTTAGCCAGAGAAACTTGATCAAGTACATACGCACCTTCAGTCCAAACCGGTTCGATGATCCATCAATACAGACTACTAAATTCCTGCCCTCCTTGTGTTTGGAGTACGGACACATGTATTTATATGTAGGGTGGATTGTGGTTGTAGAACTTGGAGAAGGTACATCAGTGGTGAGCAGCGGCTCCGTTGCAAAGGGAGGCATGGTTGACGAAGCCCTGCATGGGATTCTAGAACTTATTATGCATTTGTCGGGCGCTAGAATATCCGTGTACTGTATCAAAACAAGGCAAGCGCGTGCGGTGTTAGTGCACTTCTTGATCAAAGATTAGCGCCATGACCAATTCGAAGCCTAGATCTGTCATCCTTTCGGTGAGCTACGCCCTTTATGTAAATCATTCATATGTATGCAAAAGAAGGACGCACGGATAACGAAACGTTTCATTAAACCATTCCATGGAACTCGCTATTTCACGGTGGGACGGATCACGTAACAGCTGAACAAGTCAGCTTGTATAGCAGCCGACGCATTGGGATTGGTGGGCAATAGGGTTGGTCAATTCTAAAATGTCGTTGTCAATGTCGACTTGAGCTTACGGTCACCTCTCGTAAATTACTTAGGCGGACCCTAAACCTTTCCTGATTTGGCCACTACTGTGTCGCCTAAACCTTTGCATGGGAGACGTTCTACACAGTAGTGGGATTCAAAGTAAAATTTTGAATATTCAAGAAACACGCTGAAAGCGCGTTGAAAAGTGTTTGAAAGAATTGCGAAACTTTTCAAAGTGTGAATTTAAACTCCGCTCGATTACCTTAGCCACGCATACAAGTCGACGATTAGGGGTTAGGGTTAGACGCAATGCCTCGAACATCCATGTGTCAAGACCTCTTACACCAGCTAGATGCTGCTTCACTGCAAGTTGCATTGGCTCATATAGAGCATGCTAGATGTAATACAGAAGATTCTGAATCATCCAGCTCTGATAGCTCAATCTTAAGTCCTCCATCGCCCTGATGAGCCCCCCATGCGTGCACCACAGATTCAGCTCTTACCTCATTTTGCTGCCCATCGCCCAGATCTCTTTCACCAGAAATTGCATGTATACCCTGACATTTTCGATGACATCCTCGACTATATCAGCAATAGTCCCATTTTCCAAAACCACTCAAACAACTGTCAGCTTCCCATCACCCTACAGCTTGTAATCTTTCTAAATCATGCAGGTCACTATGGCAATGCGATAGCTAATGAATACATCTGCCAATGGGCGGGTGTTAGTGTTGGATCAGTCACTAACTGCACCAATCGTGTCATGATCGCTCTACTCGAGCATCATGATGAATTCATCTTCTTCCCAAGTCTCACTTTGAATGATGCTGCTTGTGCCTGAGACTATGTCTCGAAGATCTGCCCACAATGGTGTAACGGTATCTTTGCTATGGATGGCTCTATGGTTAACCTCTGCTATAAGCTGGGGCTCTTTGGAGACACATTTTACAACTGCAAGTCTGATTTCTCCCTCAATTGCCAGGTATGTTGTTTTTCTTCTCAAATTTCAACTGGTAGACCTCTTATAGGTAGTGGTAATGCCTCATAACCTCCTTATTGTGAATTATTCAATCGGCCACATTGGTAGCGCACATGATGCATATGCTTTCCACTTGACATGCATTTTTCAAGAGCATGAGACACTCCTTGGAGACGAGCACTGGATCTGGGCCGATAGCACTTACCCTTTGGAGACCTGGTGCATTGTGCCATTCAAGAAGCCGTGCAATGGTGCACTGAAGTGGGAGCAAAAAAAATTCAACTTTAATCTGTCTACAGTATGTGTACTATTTTTTTTCATTGCATGTACTTACTAATTTTTGGACTTAGGTCCATGTTCGTATCAAGCATGCCTTTGCGGCACTCAAAGGCCATTTTCAGTCCCTCCATGAGCTTTGACATCTGATACAGACTGAGAAGCACCTTGAGTACACTTTGTACTGGATTATGTGCTGCTTGATCCTCCACAATATGGTCATCCAGTTCGAGGAATGGTGTCATGTCAACACTACAGATTGGGCCAGGAGGCAGGATGGGTCTGTAGAGGAGCAGGAGGAGGAGGATGTTGGTGAGGACGGAGCCAGTGATACAACATATGCAGGAACTCCTGGACAGGCATCTCACAGTTGGTTGATGGACCACTTGCTTGTCACACTTGAGAGGTGGAGGCAGGCAGAGCAGGAGCAGACAAGGTGCAACAGGTAACAGTAGGAACACACAACATGTAAAGCATACTGGACATACAACAATGAGATTAGGAATGCGCATATCAATGTGACGTGAACGACAGACAAATGTATTATGAATTAAGTGGACAAGGAACCCCCCTTTGATGAAGATGCTTCTTTCAGGTTGATCAACTTGATTTCAAGGTGAAGGGCAGCCACCTTCTCAGGCTGAACTTTGGCCTGTGCTTTGAGAAGATGAAGCTCGAGTGCCTTTGCCTCCTGTGACTGCACATGCACTGAAGCAGCTTCATCATGCTCTATTGCACCCTGGTCTCATTGGAATTGGAGCTCGCGCTCTTGGCAGAGAGCATTGACCTTGGCGATTTTATACTCAGAGGAAGCTGCCTTTGCAGAGTAGATATAACTCATATTGTCAGTAAGAGATCCCACCTGGTCAAGCACATCTGACATTCCCGATTGAACACACCCTGAAAGGTTGCGCTTGTGCTGAGTTTGTCGGTGTGAGGGCTGTAAGTCTACACGGGACAATGAAGAGAACATCTGTGCAGATGAGCTGGGGGTATTGGATGATGAGGATGCCATAGATGTTGGCTTTTTTGCATGAGGGGGGCCATGATTCATGGCACAACTGACATGAGACTTGCCAGTGAAAGCTGCTTCATGGTGATCATACTCAGAGGCATGATTTAATGGCTTGAAGGTAGGGGGTAGTGAGGGGGACATTTGGTATGGGTGTTTGCTGCTTAGACACTGCTGAGTATTGTTCTGATCCCCATAGTTATCTTCCTCCATCTCCAAGTCCTCAGCACCACCATCCCAATTTCCACCACCCATTGTGTAGTCCAACTCTTCAGGCACAGGGTTGTAGTTGTTATACATAGGGTCATAGTCGTCATGTGCAGGGTCATAGGCCTCAGTAAAGGTGGCAGGTGGGGTGCTGTCAGCAGGAGGGTTGGGTATGTTAGAGGTGGTAGCGCAAGGAGCATCATCATCCAGGAGGTCGTTGGGATCAAAATCTAAAGCCCTCTCTTTCCCCTTTGGTTGCGAGCATACCACAGAGCTAGAGGCAATCAGTTTGGTTTTAGGTTGGGTGAGTGTGTGGAGGCCACCAGCATGATCTTTGCCAGGAACAGAGGAGAAGGTCTTCGGAGAAAAGGCAGGGTTGTCCTTCCACAATGCATCAAGGTCTTTGAACCATGGAAATTCAGATGCTACTTGTGCTGTGATTTTTCTAGTTTGATAAGATAATTTAAATAATTTAAAACAAAACTTACCTCGGAGATTTACTTTAGCCTGAGGGTCGAGAGGGTTGACACCAGCACCAGTCATCCCAAACCAAGCAATTGCAGCCTTATACTTCCCCCTGAGACTGAGATTTTGTCATTAGTATGTACAGACAAGACAGGAACAAAGTACATACTATGCAAGGCAATTTGCAACAGCTTGTCCAAACTTTGGCCTATTCTCTTCTACAGCATACTGGGGCCCATATACTGGGTCATTGGCGAAGATATGTTTGGTGATTACAAGGTGGATTTCGGCTTTACTCCTGCCAGAAGGATGATCAGTGCTGATTGTCATGTCGCATTGCTTTTTGTTGTTGGAGAAGAGTATGCGACAGTCGGGTGAATGCACAGCAAGCCAGGATACAAGGGGGGTAGTGCGATCATGGTTGACAGTTTCCCATCTGATCTTGGAAGGGGCAAAGTTGGTATCATCCCCAGGAGTCAGAGTGGCATCTCCATCATTCAGATCTGCTGCATGTTGATATTGGGGGGGGTCTGGATGGTTAGTACCTCCTCCTCCTCCTCCTCCTCCTCCCCTCCCATGAGTCACAATAGTGGTACCCCTCGCCCTCACCCTAGCTCTAGCCCTCCCCCTGCCATGTGAAGGTTGTGGTAGTTGTGGTGGTTGTGGTGGTTGCGGTGGTTGTGGTGGTTGCGGTGGTGGTTGGAGCTGGCTCATTCAGACCAGCAGATATTTGAGAAAGCTGTTGGAGGTGTGCTGAATGTCTTACAGTGGATGGGCGTATTGGGGGCATCATTCATGTGTAGCATGAAGTTTTGATTTCAGACTCTGATGCCTGCTGCTGGGGTTCCAAAAAGTTTGCATGTTTGTTAATGCTTTCAGGGAAGTTTCAAGACCAGCTTTGAATCCCACTAGTATCCTTGTCCTAATTCTCAGGCCTCTGAAAGTTAACTAACTACCTAAACCTATGTTCTATTGCTAAATGTCCTCCTAAACCTTTTGTTCATGATACTTGTAGTCAACTAGGGCCCATATATTTTGCTTGGGCAAGTTTTGAGTAGTTTGAGCAATTTTGCACACAGTACTTCTGGTACTGATGAGACTTGTTAAGCTGGATTATTAAAAGACTTTGATTAGGGAAAGGTTTAGGAAGCAACACTACATGGAAAGATTTACTAGGAATAATCCATGAAAAAGTTTAGGAACTAATATTACATGGTAAGGTTTAGGTAGCTGACTTTCAGAGGCTCTATACAATGAGGATCACTCATGGCAAGGTTCAGGTAGTTAGTTAACTTTCAGAGGCCTGAGAATTAGGACAAGGATACTGTGTAGAACGTCTCCCATGCAATGGTTTAGCTGACATGGTAGTGGCCAAATCAGGAAAGGTTTAGGGTCTGCCTAAGTAATTTACAAGAGGTGACCATAAGCTCAAGTTGACATTGACAATGACATTTTAGAATTGACCAGCCCTAATGGGCATTAGCTTCAAGGGCCAGATGTCGCATGTCCTTCAAGTTGTCAACTTGCCAAGGCTTCAGTCAGACCAGCTCACCAGAAAATTACATAAGTACAGTTATCAATGGGCATTCAAGATACTATCTTCGGCCCAGAGTTGCAAATCACAACATAGCATACTCATCTTCCACTCATTTCCTTTGCATAATGATTCTAGAGGATGATTAGTATATAGCTTGCTATAGTTATTTTTTATTTCATGAAAAATGAACTGGAAGTGCTTGCAGCAGCAAAATACAATGTGGTACACACACTTTCTGCACCAATCTGTCAGAGGAGAGCCATTACATGTGCCAAAAAATTCAGGAATTTTACTAGTGATTCTACATTGCCTTCTAACACTACTCTAATTTTTTCTGACATGAAAACTGTGTTATGTTGAGAGCCATAAATATTGTACTATTGAGATGCAAAATGTGACAGGAGGGGTGAGCTTGTGTTTGGAGTTGCAAAGCACCACTCAGCAACTTGGCTAACACATGTGCGCACACTCACTCATATCTGTGAACAGTCTTGCAGTGCTGGTCACATGCCAAAGAGAAACTGACCCTCCAAGTTTTCTCAAGAGCTTGAAGATAAGATTCAACATGCCTGCACTATTCTACATGCTTTTCCTTCTCCTAACATTCACACTGTTGCAACAGAACCCAAAATCCCATATGACACCCATCAGTGGTGGTATTTTGGCAAGAGTCAGTCATACCACAAGGCTCATATTGAGCAACAGCTCCTATCACTGGAATCAGAAAATGTGCTTGTTGACTGGATCAAATCACTCAGCTCCATGGGGCATCCACTCAGCAAGCACACAATTTGAAGCAAGGCAGCCATATAATAGTATTGTGTCACCATGGCAAAACTGGGCCTCACGAGAAGTGGGTCAGAGGCTTTCTCAAATGTCACCCATGATATATTATACCTATCTAGTTAATACCTTACAGTACATAAGTTGGTTTCTACATAAGTGTGAGGCATGAACACATGTGTAGAATGAGGTCTATGTAGGGATGGAGTAAGGTTAAGGGATCATTTTTCTCTTTCACTACCACTAGCCTGGCATAAGCACCCAACTACCAATCTTTCATCTTGTTGTCAATCGTCAAGCTACCTCTATCCTAACTGAAAATAGTCTTAAATTTTTTTTTTTTCACAATGCATCAACTCCAAGCTGATCCTAACTTAGAACAGTGCCCTGATTTCACCTCAGTGGATTTTCAGGCCAGTTGGGCCCCTCTCTTAGGTCCTGTGACCAATGATGCTCAAGTGGCCGCAATGTTACACACCATTTGGACTGCCACCAATAACACCTTGAAAGCTCAATGGCAACAACAAGTTGATGCTGCTGCATTACAGGCCAAGGAACAAGGACGCCTCCTCACAGAGGAAGAAGAGCTGCAGCTGGCCATGTAAAAAGTGCAGGATGCTGTCATTGCTGAAGAAGATCGGAAGAAGAACAGAATTCATCATATTCCGATTCCTAACCACCTTGCCCAACCTGAGCTGCTGAGTCTGTTTTGATTTCTGATTTCGCGCTTCAGAAATTGGACAAAGCTCAATATGTCAAGTTATACTACTGGACTAATCTTGGTCTTGTGGACACATGGCAGAATTTTCAAACCATGGACAATGACAGCATGGTACCCACTATTGGCCCTGAGGGCACCACCACCTGGACTATTGCCAGTGCTGCTTGACCCACTACAGGGGTTGTTCCAGATCACCTGCTGGCTCCCTTGGATTTCTCTAGGGCCATACCCCATTTCATCAACTCACTTGAGCAGCGTGGTTGGGTTCCCTCCTGCATCTGCATGTTAGCCAGTTTCTTTGGCACCTTGATGCTTCATAACTATTGGACTTCTGATGAACCATTTGAGCTGTGTGCACTCTTAACCTACCAGGAAGAACAGCACTGAGCATGGCCCCAAGCACTCACACAACCTGATGGGGCTTGGAACATTGTGTTGATTGATGAAGCTGAGATCTCTTGCAACTTTGATCAGCTTTATCATTCTAAGCAGGTGTGTGCAGATTGGGAATATGATACAAAGGTCAGCTGTTCATTTCTTCATGTTATGACAGTGTCTAATAAATTCTATGACCTTTTATTTTGCATTACACTATTTGTGATATACAATGTGTGATATGTGTGATGCAATATGTGGTATGTGATATGCATTATGGGTTATACTTTATGTGACATCTATAGCATCTACAAGCTCTCAACACCTCTGGACATGTTGACAAGTCTAACTTCAACTGCAGGAGATGAGCTAAATGTTCCCCAGCTCATCAGGGTGTTGAGCAATGTGTTTCCATTGTGGAACACAAGCACTCTGCATCTCCATTAGGATACAACAAGACTCCTGTGTTACCAAAGGCACCGTTTCCTCCTCAGGTTTTTCCAACAGCACACATGGTCAACATTCTCCCACAGTGTGTGCTGTTTGCCTCAGGAGAAACCAACACTTGTTTGTTGAATGCTCTGCTGAGCATCTATGGGACAACATCCATGCCACCATCAGCAAATGGGTCAACAAGCAACTTCTGGTCTGTTCCTCTGACAAACCTCTCTGTGCCAATTGCTCCCACAATGAATGTCACCTCTGTTCGGGATGCTTCTCCAACTCCCACAGCACTCAATACTGTCCTTGAACTCAGGCAAATGGAACCAATATGCCCATATAATGCCTCCATGTGAGAAGCCCTATTGCTTCAGCATGGACTGCTGGATTGCTACAATAAAATCCCTGATGGTTTTTGGCATGGTTTTGATCTTCATCTGCCTGTTATCTTAGCATCTCAAGTCCCTGCAAACCACATCTCTCTTGTCATTTATTGGGACACCTTTGCCTGCATCCTACAATGTGAGTTCAGTACAGGACATTACATCAGTCCTTTCACTTGTTTGCACCTCCATTCACTCATTGGGGACTTTCAAACTTCTCTGGTATCAATTATTCTGAAACCATGAAAACCAGGAAAGTTTTGTGTCATCCAAAATTTTTCCTTCCCTCTGTCACCCTCTCCTTGCCACCCTTCACTATTGATTAATTCAACTGTGGATTCTGATGAATTTCCCTGTACATGGGGTACCTTCAACACAGTCTGTTGTATCATTTGTAATGTGCCTCCTGGCTCTCAAGGTGCCACTCGGGATGTTGCAGAAGCATATTGGATGGTCCCAATACATGCTTCTCAATGGCCTGCTGCTGTGGTGCATGTGGATGGGGACACCTTTTGTGTTGATACCTGCACATCTTTTGGAATGGGTCCATCAGCTGGAGCTTGTGGATACATTGCAGATGCCAGAGTGGACCTCTTGTGAGCTTCTGGTTTGGGACCTCTTATTAAATGGGTTGATGACCATTTGTTTTTCTACATTCAGTGTGTGCACCATATCAAATACAATAGTTATCATAGGGCTTTACATACCACATTATCTGGTGATTGTCTTTGTCAAACCAGGGGTCATCTATGGTTCAAAGGTATCACACTTGAAGACGGAAGCATTGAAGTCTTTGCTGAAGACTGTCATTTTCCCATTCTCAATCTCCCATGCACCTCCATTCACTCAAGTGAAGACAGTGTTTTCACATCAAATTTCCAGGACATTGATGATGCATCCATTCCCCTGGGGATGCCCTGGGAACTTTCAAAGGACGCACAATTCACATTTGAGGTATTGTTCATCGGTCTTCTCTGGAACCTTGTTCATCTCACTGTTGGATTGGGAGAGTTGAAGAAGAGGAAGTATTTGGCAGCCATCATGGCTTGGTTATTGCACGAGACCCATGTGCCTCTCCAGGTCCGGGAACTATATGGCAAGTTGTTACATGCCTGCCTTGTTATTCCCATTGGACAAGCCTATCTCACCTCTATGGAAAGCATGCTGGGTGTCACTGCCAGTCATCCTTTTGTGCCATACCATCCAGTCAGACATCTTAAAGATGACCTTATCTGGTGGCAGACACAACTACAATGGCCTTGCCTGGAACGACTCATTCCACAACCATTCCACATTGTCAACGTGCATGCCTATTCCAACGCCAGTTCTGGCTTCGGAATTGCAATTGTTATCCATGGGTTTTGGTACACCTGGAAGTTACTCCCCGGGTGGCACACCATCAATGGGGCCAAAGACATTGGGTGGTCCAAGGCAGTTGGGTTTGAGCTGCTCGTCCTTATGATACTCCACCTTGGGTTACCACCTGGGGGAGGGCATTTTAGATTGCATTGCAACAACCTCAGGGTTGTCAAAGGCTGGGTGAATAGATGTAGCAGGAACTGGGCAACAAACTGTGTTTTTAGGCGAGTGCTCTCCATGCTTGAACCCCTTGGCTCTTCCATGTCTTTTCATCTTTCTTACATCCCAAGTAGAGAGAGAGAACCCTGCTGATGGTCCTTTGTGTGGGCATTTCCCTCCCAGAAACCTCTGGCTCCCGCACATTGAACTCCCCACAGAGCTTGCTTGTTTGCTTGCTGATGCCACCCCATCTGCCTTGTCTGGATTAACATCTTCCTCACACCCTGATGAATGAAGAGATGCAGATCTTGATGAATTGGTTGACAGGTCAAAGGAGTGGAAGTTTGGAGATGAGCTATGGCAGTTCCAAGAGCACTGGAAAGACTAGGCTATCATGCTTCCAAACACTGGTCTTACCTTTGGTCTTCCTGCTGAACATTATGGGTCCTCATCCCTACCACTCTTCATTGATGCCATTACCTTCCTTGCTATGGCCACATTGTTTGGCTTGTGACCGCTTGCATCTATGGTGTCCTGTACAAAGTTGTTTGTGGAATGACTACAACAGGATGGTGATACCTTTATCCAAGGATGATCTTAATTGCATACTCACAGTGATAGGACATTCACTAGCATCCAGGATGCACAAAACCTATGGTTCTGGGTTGTTAGCATTTCACATTTTCTGTGATGCCCAGGGGGTTCCAGAGGAACAATGAGGTCTGGCCTTGTCTGTCTTGATCTTAGCATTCATCACAAACTGCGCTAGGATGTATGCTGGGAAGACTTTAGAGAATTATTACTATGGTGTATATGCCTGGCACATGCTTCATGGACTTGACTGGTTGGTAAACCAAGCTCAAGTGGTTTTGGCTCTAGAAGGTAGCACATGCCTCACTCCTGCAGTCTCCAAACGTCCTAAATGCCACCCTTTGTTATAATCATGTATGCCCCTATTCATTTTCTCTTTTTACCTTGTATTATGTCACAAGCCACATGATGCTGCTGCTAGACTTATCCCTGATTCATATCTTGTATTACATCATGATTGCTGTTGCCATCACTAGATGATCTATTCTTGTTATCACTGACATGTCATTTTTTATCTCTGACTCATCATTGATCTCACACCTGCCCTAAACCACTTATGTTTACTATATATAGTCAATGATGTACCTTGTAGTTCTTCACTTTAATCTTACTAGGTTTTACCTGAAACATCCTTTGCTTGAGACCTCCAATCTCTTGTCATCTGAACTGTACTTTAAGATAGAAGCACTCCTTCTGTCTTAGCTTACATCGAACACTTGACTTATCATCTCATGTAGAATCTCTGCAGAGGTCCTAAACTCTTATCAAGTTGTCTGTTGTTAGAACTATCCTAGTTTGTAACACTCTTTCATGATTTCAATTCTTCTCCAGATTTGGTTGTCTCTGATTCTCTCAGATCCTTTGGATGCTGCTGTATGGGCATGTCTTGTGACATCATTTTTCTCCCTCACTTGACTGGGGGAGGTCACCATTCACTTGTTATTAGCATTCAAACCATGTCTCCATGTGAAAGTATCCAACATTGACTATGCCCAAGATAGGCATGGATTGAAAGTAACCATCTTGCACTTACTGAGGTTGAAAGTGTCCACCACAGGAGAAGACTTGTACTTCACCATGCAATCAGGCAATATCAATCCAAATGCAGCTCTAGCAAATCACCTACAAGTGAACACCCTAGCATCTTCAGATGCACTTTTTAGTTGGAGGCATTGCAGTGGTCTGTGTCCTCTGACTCAGTCCAAATTCTTGCAAGGCCTGGATCATTCTTCTTGGCGTCTTCAAATTGAACCACTTAAGGGTCATGGGATATGGATTTGGGGGACATTAGAGTACTTACTCCATGGCATACCCTTTGAAATGGTGAAGGCAATGGGGAGATGGAGCAGGGATGCTTTTGCTGGCTATCTGCACAAACATGCCATCATAATGGCACCTTATCTTCAAGATACTCCAGTGCTCAAACCTTTCATGCAATATGCAATGCTGCCTGTATGCTGATCAAGTAAGTCATCGCTTTCTATCTTCTGTTGGGGGGAAAGCATGTGCTAGCATTGTCAAGCTCCTAAGTCTTGGGTACTTTCACTCATACTTGCCCTGTTATGCCCACAGATTC